CTTAGCACTAAAGTTCCTTCCTTTCTAGCTTAGATGAACCCAAATATTCTAAAGACTAAGCCTTTTCCTTTCAAACAGATTGAACCGAGACTTTACTCGAAACAGAGCGATACCGAAAGTAGACGAGAAACCGATAACCTTGCTTAACACGGAGAGATGGATAATCTGATTTGAAATTCCACAGAGACCCGAACAGATGAAGAATACTAGCTAGTCCCTTGAAGAACAGATGATGATTCCAACCAGAGACTCCTTAGAGTGAGAGTATGAACACGAACAGAGGCTCCCAGATTTCTTGTAGAACCGAGAAGAATCAACTTAACAGAGATTTTGAGAATTAGAGTAGTTTTTTTTTTAAGAAGAGATTAGAGTTAGAGAGATTAAGAGGGATCATTCTCTGATACCATGATGTTTTATGCGGAAATTAGAGAATACAGAGTTAAGATTATGACAAGATTTGATCGGTTTATAAAGGAAAGAGATGATAAGGTAATCAACGGAATATGCTTGACAAAGATGCTCTGTCCTTCGGTGAGTCATCAGCCGTACCGCCTCCTTTATGACGCGTTCTGAACGATTCAGAACCAAGACACAATCTGGGCAATGTTCGTTAACGGCTAGTCAGGGGTGTTGACTACACACGTGCCGTAGAGTCATCCCACGTAGCAACACACACGGTCACATATTTGAATTGTTCTTCTCGTGTCATTTCTTCCCGCGACACTAACTCATCCGAACACTCCATATCAACCGAACACAATGTGTCTTCTTATTCAATATGGTTGACCTCAATTTTGGACACACAACAAAACCTAACTATAGACTTTGCATGGACTTGGGAGAATATATCAGATTTTCCTTACCGAGTTGGAAGATTTTGTGACCGAGAGAACCTCCGTGAACTGCTTCTCCAGATTTTCCATGGCGGATTTATGAAACCCTAGAATCTGTTTTTTTTTCTTTTCTTTTGAGCTTAACACGAAAGGGAATCACTTTAAAAAACCCTGTAATCACTTTGTTTACGTTTATATTGTGTTCTTATTTCGTTTGGTCGGTGTTGATAAAACAAAAGGAATTTTCGTTTGGTCGGTAATATTTATGAATAAAGACCCATTAAAAGCCCACGATTATGAAATTGGGCTTTTCAATTTTTTACTTTTTTTTTTAATTTGTT